GCTTCTGCTTCCCGTTAGAGACCGCCTTCTCTCCAGGCGTCTGGCAGGGACCTGCCCACTCCTTCGACCAGACAATCCAACCACAAAACCCAAACCAACACCAAACCTGTTATTCCAGTGCATGGTGGCCACACCGTGTCACCGGTCCCCGACACGGGTGCACTCCCTGTGGGGCTGGTCAGAGCCCGCCTCAGGGTGGACTCCGCGTGGCTGCTCCACACCCGCTGCTCCTGCTGGTCCCCGCTCTGCCCTGAGGGCAGCAGCAAGTCCGAGTCCTGGGCTGCTGGGGGGGGGGGTGCGCTGCTGGGGTGGGGGTGCGCTGACTGCGGGACGACGATGTTGCTCCACCTGGGACGCTTGGAGCAGTGGGACAAGCAAGCTCTCAATCAACAGTCATTATTAATACTTATTATTAATATAGGCATATTGCATTAATTCTGGAGTGACTGACTTTTGCCCAGCGCTGACACAAGCAGTGGCAGTGCCCGTGGGGGACAGGGCCGGGAGCGGGCTGCAGGCGCCTACTGCATCTGGTGCCTGGAGGGCGGTGAACGCTGGGCACCCACAGCGCACAGGGCCCCCCAGAGAGAGCGACCCAGCCCAGGTGTCAGAGACGCTGTGTAGACTGAGGGGAAAGTAACCGTGTCTGCGAGCAGGATGCTGTGCATGTGAGTGTGTGCATGTACATGTGAGTGTGTGTGTCAGTGAGTCTATGTGAGTGTGCACAAGTGTGCATGCATGAAGGGTGCGCGTGAGCACAGAGCAGGCAGGTGTGGGCCTGTGCAGGATGCTGTGTGTAGGGGCACTAATGGGAGGTGCGTTTGCCAAAATAACTTGGGGCCTGGGGTTGCAGGCGTTACGTCATGTTTAAGGGGGTGGACCCAGGCCCACGGGAAATGGAAGCTCTGAGAAGTAGTGGTCTGGCAGCTCCTTCCGTCCGGTAGAGAGCGAACCTGGCATTTAGATGGAAAGGGGTTTCCGGGAGGGGCTGTGGCAGGGACCGCGGGAGCCCCCAGGGGACCGAGCTGCTCAGGAGCTGAGGGGGGCAGACCCTCTCGTATGGTCTGAAGTGCTGCTACCCCGGGGCCTGCTCTTACGATCAGAAACGGTCGCTCAGGATTCTGATCTCCTGGGCCAAGCCTTTGCCGTGGGTCATCGGCTCAGTCTGTGGCGGAGGAGGAGGTGAGCTCAGACGGGTCAGGGGACCCAGGGGGGCACTTTCACATGTGTGGGCGCAGACACGTGGGCATCGTCAGCCTGGGCCTCGGGGTCTCTTTTACAAAAGCCAGGCGGGATGGTGACGCAGACCAGAGTTTGAGGGTTGTGAGCTAGAGGTGAGTCGGTTCGGGCCCATGATCCATGCTCCTCGCTGTGCTTGCGCCACCGCGTGGAAGCCAGCAGAGATGGGCACAGCACAGCTTCGTCATTTGTTCAGAATCTAGACCCCGGCCCCATTTCCGGGCAGCCTGGTGCGTGTTGACCAGGCCCTGCTGGGGGCGCCAGTGCTGGGGATGTGGAGAACCCCAGGGGGACATTCTGCACCCCGGAGGCCCGGGCTTCAGAGGCTTCCTGTGTGATGTGGGGTGGCGCCTGGTCTGTTCTGGACTTTGGACCCCCTGTCTGTGCCGGGGGTGGGGGCAGAACTCAGAGTGACGGCTGCTCTGGAGCTTGTGGTTTGCAGACGGGAGCCAGGCCCTTGGCACCAGCGCCAGGGGATTCTGGGTGGAGAAGGGGGTGCGGCTCAGCTGTCCCCCGTGGGGTGCATGCTGATCTCGTCTCTCTGAGGCGCCTCTGCTCGGGGGTTCGGGTTTATTTCGTGGACGCCCTGCTTTCCAGCCGAGTTCTGTTCACGCCAGACTCGCTGAATGAATAACCAGACGGGAACAGGCTTCTCGCAGGTCGGTGGCTGGAAAGTCTTGTGCAGTAAAACCTCGGGGAACGGACTAGTTCGGGCGAGGGCGTGGCCATTAGAGCAGAAAGTCCGTTACATAATAAAGCAGGTTTTCTGAATGTATATGTTAAAAAAATTGACAAATTAATTGGTTTAGTGTTTTTACTTATGTAGACACATTTGTGTAATTAAAATTATGTAGGGAAAGTTTAATTGCACAGAAGAGTTTTCTACATGTGCTACTGGGATTTTAAATTTATAGCGAATAGGCCTAGGAAATGTGAGCGTCAGGGCCCATAAACCCGTGGTCAGCAAACTGCGGCTCGCGAGCCACATGCGGCTCTTTGGCCCCTTGAGTGTGGCTCTCCCTAAGCCTTAGGAGTACCCTAATTAAGTTAATAACAATGTACCTACCTATATAGTTTAAGTTTAAAAAATTTGGCTCTCAAAAGAAATTTCAATCGTTGTACTGTTGATATTTGGCTCTGTTGACTAACGAGTTTGCCGACCACTGCCATAAACAAATGCACAGGTTGGGGGGCGGGGCAGGGGCAGCACCTGCTAACCCGCTGAGGGTCAGGAGACAGCACGGCTGCAGGTGACGCAGGGCGGCCACGTGCTAGTCGGTCCTGAACACTGTTTGCCCGTGGTGGCTCTTGGATTTAAATATGTAGACTATAGTTGTAGATAAGTAATATTTACTTTTGTTGGCAAAATTACCACAGAGCTTTTTCCAACATATGGCCTAGTTGCTAAAATTTGTTAAAAATAACAGTGTGCTGCCCTAGCCAGCTGGCTTAGAGGTTAGAGCAGGGGTCCTCAAACTTTTAAAACAGGGGGCCAGTTCACTGTCCCTCAGACTGTTGGAGGGCCGGACTATAGTTTAAAAAAACAACTATGAACAAATTCCTATGCACACTGCACACATCTTATTTTGAAGTAAAAAAACAAAACGGGAACAAATACAATATTTGTATTTGCATGTGGCCCGCGGGCCGTAGTTTGAGGACCCCTGGGTTAGAGCGTCCGCGGGCCCTGGGACTGAAGGGTCTGGGGTTGGATTCCGTCAAGGGCACGTATCTCGGTTGCAGGCTCGATCCCTGGCGCCTGCCTGGGCGTGTGAGGGAGGCAACTGATGGATGTGTCTCTTTCATATCGATGCTTCTCTCTCTGTCTCTCCCCCTCCCTGCCACGCTCCCTAAAAATCAAAGGAAAAATATCCCGGGGCGAGTATAACAAACAAACAAAAGCATGACCTTTGCTCTGAGACAGTGATGGCGAACCTTTTGAGCTCGGTGTGTCAGCATTTTGAAAAACCCTAACTTAACTCTGATGCCGTGTCACATATAGAAATTTTTTGATATTTGCAACCATAGTAAAACAAAGACTTATATTTTTGATATTTATTTTATATATTTAAATGCCATTTAACAAAGAAAAATCAGCCAAAAAAATGAGTTCACGTGTCACCTCTGACACGCGTGTCATAGGTTCGCCATCACTGCCCTAATCTATTCACAAGTTTTAACAAAGGGCTTGATGAGGAAAAAAAGTGTACCTTTCAACTCTGAAAACACCTCACTTAAAAAATAACAAATAACAGTGAATTAATAACAAAAATCTAACCTGTTAATTATAAGCAAATCGTGGTTAAAAGCATTTTAAAATTAACAGGATGTTAATGTTCACATATGATGCACAGACTGGAAATTTTGACCATTAAATCTGGTTTGTTAAATTGAGGTCCGCAAAACCGAGGGTTTACTGTGGCAACGTTGCGGCCTCACCGGAGCTCTCCTCTGTGGGGCCCCCGCGGTGGGACTGGCCCGCTGTCTACGGTCACCACGGGGCTGCCTGGGGCGCCGGGGCTGGGGGGGCGCGGGGCTGGGGGGCCGCAGAGACCGCCCGTCGCGGGCACCCTCTCCACGGCCGCGCCGGAGGATAAGCGAGGGAAGAGCGTTCCGAGTGGTAAAATGGGGTTTTATTCCAGGATGAGCACACGCCCGCCAGTTCTCCCTCCCTCCCACAGACCCACGGAGCCGGCGGAGTGTGACCACGTCGTGCCCCGGTGGTTTGAAGCCAGCACTTCCATCCTCCCACAAACCAGGACGTGGCACCTTACACCCTTTGCTGGAGACCTTCCGGTGGAGCCCCTCCCGCTGCTCCGATGACTCCAAAGCCCAGCCCTGCAGCGGCTCGGCTGCACCTCTGCTGACCGGCCGGCCGCCCGCGCCGGGGCCAACGTTCAGGCGTGAAGAGCTTCGGCGGGGGCGGGCCAGGCGGCGGGGAGGGGTGCACAGCGGCACGTGTGGAGGCAGGCGAGTGGGGTGGCATGCAGGTGACAGGGTGAGCCCGTGGGAGGGGCCGGACACTGCGCACCCCTGACGCACAGGCCTGTCTTTATGTGCGACTGAATGACACGCGCACGGGCACCCCGGGGCGTCTGGGGGGGCGCCTACGGCATCCACGGGGCTGCCCGCGGGCGGCGGGTGGGCACCCAGCCTCTCAGGTCAGGAGGCACCGCCCGAACAGGCCACCTTCCTCCAGCGTCCCTGTCCCCAAGCACAGGACAGACTCGGAGGGGAGGCAACACTTTGTCTTTTATGGTTTTTTTTTTTAAAACCAAATGGCATCTGAACAGACTTGACAACATATGGGGAGGGAAGGCGAGGATTAAGGGCACGTGTGGATGGACGGGAGAATCTAAGCCGGACCCAGGCAGCTGGTGGGAGAGCTTTTATTTGTGTATTTTCCTGTTTTAGTACTTGGTGGTGGCTGTTTTCCCCTCGGCGTTTTGAAATATCTCCCTAAAGTCTGAGCCCACTCAGGTGAGAGCGGTTAGATGCTTCCGATCCGTTTCTCCCTCCAAACAAGCAGGGAGCTGACAACCCACGGGAGGAAACAAAGCAAAACCAAGGATAACAAACAAACAAGCACAGAGAAGCAACCCCGGGGCCGCAGACCATGTCAGGTAAAAACCATAGAAAAATACGATTAATTCCGGGAGGCTAACCGCGAGCGCAGCTGCAGCGGACTGCGCCGCGCAGGGTTGGCAGAGGAGCAGGCGGCGGAGGGAGACTGTCGGGCATTGTGCTCTGGGTGCCCATGGCGTGGCTACTCAGACAGCATGTGTGCCTGGGCGGGTGGGCATGCCAGGCGGGTGGGGCTCTATGCCGCCTCCAGACGCGCCAACACGGCCAACTTCTTCTCTGCCCTCGTCCTGACCTGGTTCCTGGGGCGCCTGGGACGCACCCGCCGCGGTGTGGCCAGCAGGAGGCATGCGTGAGGGTCCCGGGCTCCTGGGGGCGCGCGGGAGGGAGGAGGCATCTCCCCTCGGGAAGGAGCTGGTTTCGGAAGCAGCACTGCCTTCAGGGCCCCAGACGCACGTGCTACGGAAGGGAGACGCACCGCCCCACCCAGCGCCTCGGGAGCGGGGGCGGGGTCCCCGGTCCAACCCTGGTCCAGGGAGAACCACACTGCGGGGGGCTGCCGGGCGCTCAGTCCTCCTCCTCCTCCTCCTCCTTCGCCGGGGCCGTGGGCGGTTTGTCCTCGACCCTGAAGCATTCCGCGAAGAAGTTGACGATGGCGCCGTAGAGGTGCTGCTGGAGGCGCTCGCTGTGGAAGTAATGGCTTTCGTCCGGGTAGATCTGCAAAGAGGGCGGGAAGTGAGCGGCTGCGCACCCTCCCCGGGGAGGGCGGCCGCAGGCGAGGTGCAGCCTCACACAGCCGGCGCCGCAGGTCCGCGTGAGCCTGCAAGTGAGTGTCCTACCCGATTCAGCGCCTCCTCCCCCGGAGGCCCAGCCAGACGCAGCGGCACCCGGCGGCGACCGAGTAGGAGGACCTTTGTTCCGCGGACTCCGCCCGGTCTGGAACCTGCAGCATGAATCCATGCGCAGGACCGGCGCAGGGGCCGCAACTGGGACGCCCACCGAGCTCTCTGCAGCCGAGTTACAGCTTTCTCTCTCTAGCTTTCCTGGGCCGCCATCTGCCTAGGCCTCCTGGCTCACACTCCCCGCGCGGCCGTGGGCTGGGAAGTTCCCGGTTGTGTCAAGTGGAGATGCACCAGATAGAATCGAGCTGTAAAGTTGCACGGGACTTAAACGGGGAGCACTCAGCACAAGGCCTGGACCGTGGGAACGCAAGAATGCTGGCAGCGAGTCTATTGCCAGGTGTAATGATACCTCCCGTGCCCTAGGGGCGCTGCGCCACTTCCACAGAAAGGTAACTGTCCCAATGGGGTTCAAAGCCGAGCTAACAGGCCCTTTCCACACACCTGCGTTTGGGATATGTCTTTGAAGGGTGACATTCACTTCATTTTAGGGAATTTTTTAATGCTGTCGCTGAGCTATTATGTAGGGTGCCCCAAAATGTATACACACACTTTGAATAATTATAAAGGCGGTGTTCATGAAAATAGATTTCATTTTCAAAATTGAGCTACCAGCTGTTAAAGTGTGTATGCATATTTTGGGGACACCTGTATGTGTGTTAAACTTCAAGCAGCACAAGAGGGAAAAGAAACTTGTAGGAAGTGTGGCCCCTCCTTCCTGGGCCCA